TCAGGTACCAGAGACCTCTGCGAGAGCTGCAGAAGCATGTAGAGGCGACTGACAGTTATGTCCGGAGTTCCAAAGCCTGGACATTGCTTCGAAAAGGCTTGTACCCTGAGGAGCATTCGCACTGAATGCTCTTGACTTGCGATCAGGCAACTCTGAAGCTTGCCATGAAGATGGGCAAGGCAAGTGCTCAGCATTCATGCTGGTCTGCATGCAGACGTTTTGCAAAAGTGCAGCACGTGCAGGTAATCATTGTGACCAATGCAATGGAACCTTGGGTGGAGACGTCTTGCAGGTCCTTAGTAACTAGTAGAAAATTCTCATCGAGTTTTTCTCGGCGTGCCGCCAAAGATCTGTATTCTAACTCAACTGTTGTTTCGGACATGGGACTAGTACCCTCAGCATTGGCGCGGTTTCCATTTCGGAACGGTCACCGGGTGCACCCACGTTGATTCAGGGACCGGAGTCCCACCTCCTGGTTTTGCACCACGACGTTAAGGAGGTTGGAAGCAAGAGGGGTTACAAGCCCTCATCTTGTTCCAGTGAGTGGTCTCTTTGGTTTCGACCCAGCTCAGCCGCAGGCGGACTCCCCTTACGTTCCGAGTTCGGCCATCAACATCTTTCAGAGTTAACTGTGGCTTACGCGACAGCAACACCGAAGAGTCGAGCCGCACACTATTCATGTCCGCCCTTGCAATGCAGCAGAAGCCGGTTGAGCCGACTGCCCCCCTTCCGACCCCTGCACAAACATCAAGGCGGGGTCGCGAGTGCCGGCAGGAACTTCTTGCCCGCCTTGATGCCCATCGTTTCGCAGGTGCAGGTCATTTACGCCCCTTGGCACTGGTTTGGCTCACATGTCGTTCACACGGGCAGATCGGAGGTGGGAAACGGCAGTGAAGGTGAGGTGTCGAAGATGGGAAGAGGACTTGATTATGTAAAGGCTGCACGGCGGATGGTGCAACTGTGTTTTGCCGGGGCCGTACGTCGTTCCGTGGGCTTGGCAGGAGAAGCCAAAACCGCAAATCTTAAGACATCCTTTCGAGCAGTTACCGTTCCAGCTGCCTAGCTGCTTGTGTATAGGATGCCAGTCTTGTCTGAGGCCAGATCAGTCTTCGACACCATGACCTGCGAAGCTGCAAAGAAGCAGGCAGTCTTTGCGTTTGCACGGCTTGGGTGCTTCGCCGCTTCGCCTCGAAAGACGAGGCACGTGGTTCGTCACCTGGCCGAGCCCTGCCTGGTCTGTATGCCGCGAATGGCATGAACAAGGCTGTTGACTGTCTCGCAGGCTATACATGGAGTGTTTTCAGAAAAAGGCCTCACTGACACACGCAGATACAGAGGATCCACAAACACAGCCTGAAGCCCACTGTAACGTCTCCACAACTTTCCGCCTCATCAGGCCGTGTGCTCTCTTTTCCATCCCGAGTCCTCTCTATCCGAGAGTGTACGAAGATTCGAAAATCGACACAGTCGCCCTGCGAACAGTTGAGCGGGTCGAGCCAGCGCATGGCTGCGGCGCCCGCGAGCCTCTCAGGGCAGCGGCTTGTGTTTGCGGTTGCGGATGGTTACCGCTTTTTTGTGCTTACGGTGCGTGCAGCAATAGCTTGCAGAGCAGGGCTGGGCAGGTTGCTACAGGTAAGAGCTTCGAGGGACAACAAGTCAGAGCATGCTTCTGGACACTCCTTTCAAATGTCTTTGCTGGTACATGCAAAAAGCGTTTAGATATGTTTTTTCCGCTAAGGTTGATGAGATGGCCCCACAAAGATGGAAGGACACTTCAGGGCGTAACGTAGAAGCTGCGTGCCTTTCACGTCTTGGTCTGCTTTCGAGAGCTTTTGCAGGAAATCGCCTTCGAGCAGGAGATCACTGGCTTCTACTCTCGGTATGCGCATCAGAGCTGGAAGAACATCATCTCCATTGGTGCATCTGGCATGGCTTGGCCACACCCTTGCAAGCCCGGCAGCACTCTTGCATTGATGGGAAGGTGACTCTATTTTCGAGCGTGATGCTGTCCGAAGAGTGGTGATCAACCGGCCCACTGCAAACAGAAAGCTGGGATCTCAGCCTCGAGTGCTGTGGAGTGCTTTATGTAAAGATCAACCTTGTGCAGGTCATCGTCCAGAACTGTTATTTTGTATTACGCTTCATGCAAAGGATCCTTGCAAGCTTGAACCGTGTACCTCAGGTGTCGAACCAAAACTGCCAAGTTGCTAGATGAACCGGAGATCGACGAGTTGGTTGCCCAGGCCAAACCCAGCAGCATGAGCTCCTGCGGGAAGGAGTGTTCCTCCTTGGAAGGTGCGAGTGATACACGATGCGCTGGGGTTGATGGTGCAGCCTGCTCCTGAGCGCCACTCGGAGCTTCGCGGAGCTTCTCGGAGCCTCTCGTTTCGGCTCACAGACACGGCAGGTATGATGGCAACCTCGACATTGAGATTGATGAGGAAGACCTCAAACTAGATCTCTCCCTGGTCAGTGCCTTAAGATGTCACTTGGTGGCTTCTGGCACTACATGTGGCTTCCGTGACACTGCGGCTACAGGCGGAGAAGATCATGGACCGGTGAGGCCAATCGCCGCCTCCCATTTTCGCTTAGTCGGTTCGCAACTAGCGGTAACTAGCATTCTAGTGCCATGACAAAGTGGCCATATACGTGCTCTCCAGTGGTTGAAGCCACCGGAGCAGCCCAGAACACTCAGCACTCATCTGTCGCCTGCCGAACTAGAGGTCATGGAGCATCTCGTAAAGCAGTGCTGGGTTCCTTTCCTTGTGGCCATGCAGATGGGGACTTGTCCTGATTTCGGGTTGCGGGTGTTGTTTTGTGCGCGAAGCAAAAGACTCTGTGTGTGTGTGTGCGTGCGCGCATGCGCGTGCATGCCTGCATCTGCAAATACAACATTGTAAGTTCTCTGCCATTTCTCGTGCAGCAAGCCTACATCAGTCAGTTCCTGCTAAGTTTCAGATCTACATCCAGCAACCTTGCGTCGGATTCCCAAGTTCTCACAAGTGCGAGTCTCAAAGAGACCTTCAAGAAGCATGTGCACCTCAGGCGGAATCTAGATTCAAGCTTCCATAGATGCGCGAACATCTAGATTGAACCGCAGTTTCAACAGGAGCTGGCAGCATGGAGAATTGTTGTACTTTGATGGCGTTTGTAAGGACGTACTGAATATGGTCTTTGTTGTCCATTGCCATCGCCGTAAACATACCAGCCAGGGTCTTGAAGAACATCAGTTCCGGCTTGCTGGAAAAGGAGCCTGCTGTTGCAAGACCTGGGCAGTGGGCTCTTACCATAATGCAGGCAGAAGGGAGTTGGGTGCATTGCTCGATAAACAGGTTAAATTCTTCCATACGCAGTTTCATGCCAGGGGGCTTACAATGGTTCTTGCATCGAGAGGACGCTTTGGGCCCGGCCCGTTGATGTTTCGAGCTTCAGAAAGGCCCCCTTCTCGACATCCCTTTTCGTCCAACTGTCCCATATACCACAGTCGGCTTTGTGCCGGGCAAGATCACGGGTCTCACCGACATCCCGCCGGCAATCGGATCTTCCGCCCACGCTGTGCACACACAACTTTTCATCACCCACCGAACACGGCACGGGGCACTGCTGCTTTCGGCAAGGCCTGATGTTGGAGTGCGCTCCTCGATAGCGAGATCAGAACTGACGATCGGCACCGGTCGGGCATGGTCATATGGACTGGGTCATTGATGCGGCAGAACAACTCGCGGACAGTCGCGAGTTGTCCGGAGCTGAGGCTCCAGGAGTCAGAGGACGCTTCGGCCACGAAGCACACGACCTACTTAGCCCTTCGTGAGTGTGCGCCCGCCTTTGTTGGTTGATTTACTTGGTGAAATACTGTCGCTGGGCGTAAATGCAATGACCCCGGCGTCTCGTGGCCTCACCGCGAACTTAAGGTCCGAGTGCATATTTGTTTGTTTTACTCTGAAGCGGTTCAGAGGGCCAACTTGCCTGCCTCTGGAAAGGATCCCGCCTACCCTTCTGGTGACCAACGGGCTTCGTTTGCCACCGGTGGTCTGGGCTCCCCCGCCATCCTGTTCGGGCGAGCCTTTGCGAGGGTCTGCACAGAAAGTGCGCGAGTGCCGCAGAATCTGTCCTGACAGATGAAAACGTGGATGTGTTTGTGGAAGATGCTCGAAGCATCGAAGTCGTCTCCGGCATCTGGCACAACTTGCTCCGCCACGCTCGTGAGCCCACACCTGGGGCCGAGGTGTGGGTTGCATACGGCGCCGAAGCCGCTACCTTCGACCGCCACTCTCGACCGTCCGCCTGCTTGCGCCTGCACGCGCAGTGGGCTTGTTTGCCGCCGAACTGGGCCAGCACCTTTGAAGTCGCAGCCCAGACCGTCATGCCAGGTCCAGCCTCAGCAGAGTTTAGGGCGGAGGGTCCGCTTTTCGAGATCTCCCTCTGCGTCCCCGGACCGCCACCACCACCACCACCACCACCAGCACCACCACCACCGCCACCGCTGCCACCACCACCACCACCACCACCACCACCACCACCGCTGCCACCACTGCCACCACCGCCACCACCGCCACCACTGCCACCACTGCCACCACTGCCATCACTGCCACCACTGCCACCGCTGCCGCCGCTGCCACCACTGCCACCACTGCCACCACGGCCACCACTGCCACCACTGCCACCACTGCCACCACCACCACAGTGAGTAAGTAGTGCTGCTGCTGCAGGCCGCTGCCGCTGCCACTACCTCCGCGTTCCTGATGCTATTCGGAGAACCGTGATGATGGTGATCTTCGTTTGTTGCGTTTTTCTTATTGCTACATACAACGACATTCCACTACCCTTGCTCCTCCGGTTGTTGCTGTTGCTACGGTTACTTTGATTTATTGAACACACTTACTTGCAGTACTGCTGATGTGGCTGGCCGCGGCTGTTTTTTTGCTGTAGCTGCTTCTGCTGTTCAATGTTATAGTTATGCCTACAACGACCCCTCCTGCTACAGCGACAGCGCCGGTTAAGAAACAGATAATTTTTCGTGAGGGGGGGCTCGATTTCTTATTTTTGCAGCGCACCTTTTTGGATTTCTTAACTCAAATTTCTTAACTTGGTAAAGGCTCCAAAATTCCCACACACAGAAATTAGAAGACTGCCAGGCTACTAGAACCCACCCAAAAAAATAAGAAATTGAGCCCCTCAATTTCTTAAAACTAAGAAATCGAGCCCCTCAATTTCTTATTTTCGTCGTTTTTTCAATATGACAAAGCCTGAAAAGCCCTTATTAAGCCCTTATGGAGGCCGGGAACCCTCCAAAGCTGTTATTAGGGCTTAATAGAAGCCTTTATTAAGCCCTTATTCGTCAAGCTCAGAAGCCCACAAAATAAGAAATTGAGCCCCTCAATTTCTCAAATTTAAGAAATCGAGCCCCTCAATTTCTTATTTTGGTGGTTTTTTGTGACTATGCCAAAGCCTGAAAAAGCTTTCATTGAGCCCTTATGGAGCCTTTGGAGCCCTCCAAAGCTGTGATTAAGGCTTAACAAAGCCTTTTATTATAAGCCCTTATTTGGCAACCACCAAAATAAGAAATTGAGGGGCTCAATTTCTTATTTTGGACGCTTCTGGGCTTGCTTAATAAAGGCTGAATAAAGGCTTTATTAGGCCTTAATAACAGCTTTGGAGGGCTCCAAAGGCTCCATAACTCCATAAGGGCTCAATGCAGGATTTTAAGGCTTTGTCATGGTCAAAAAAAAAACGAAAATAAGAAATTGAGGGGCTCGATTTCTTAAATTTAAGAAATTGAGGGGCTCAATTTCTCAATTTTTGGGTGTTCTGGCCGGCGCAAGAAACTGTCCAGCTTTTGGGATACGAAATCGAGT